CACTCCACCCCCAGCCCAACCCCCAATCCCCCCCTAATCAGAGGTTCTATACTCCCGCACCATACCGTGGTTTACCCACCGCTCTGGCACCAGCGGTGTTAGTTTTCGCCAGGAGAGCGCCGCAGATCGCCCAGCCAGGTATTATCGACGTTTCTTTTCTCTTCCTCCCCGGCGACTCTTGATTAAACCGCCGGACTGTACGTACTAGGCCTACGTACTCTGTGTCTTTTCTCCCCCCTCTCTCTCCGGGATTCAAGGAGAGTTGCGCCTGTCACGGTTTGCGGGGCGCCACCGAGTACTTGTTGGGAGCCCACCGGGTACTTGAGTTTTGTAATAATGATCGCTTGTCACTGCGGACTTCCTCACAGAGATGAAAAGTTCGAGACTCCGACGGTGTTATCTTGATCTTCGCGGGTGCAGTGTGTTGGTGATTTGAGTTGGGTTTTTGTTTTGTTTTTGTTTTTCTATTTTTCTTCTTTTTTTTTTTAAAAAGCTGGCCCTATCTTGGACAGATCTGTATCGAGTTTTGAGTTATTGTTCTCAAGTTGGCGAGTGCTGTTGTGGTAAAAGTTTGTTACTTTTCTGATTGCTATTAAGGTCTCTGGCATGAACAATTTCGATTTGCTCTGGGTGTTACAATTGCTAATGTGGTCATTATTTGTTTCTATATTCAAGAGTAATATCGTGGATACCCGTTATGTTCTTCGTGTTGGTTTCCTAAAAATGTCGTTTTAGATTTTCTGTTTGGCGTTGTGTCTTATGTTTCTGTTCCATCAGTCCTTATCTCTATAGAGTTTCAATAAATAATTTACCAATCATTATTTCATAAGTTCCTTCATTCTGGACTGTCCATAGTTTTTTCCTGGTGTTTCATCAGGCCGTACCACTCAAAAGTGTCAATAGATTTATTATCTGGCCTGTGAAATATCGGACGTTGGATATTAAGTTTTTTTCGGATTTTCAGAAAATATGAATGTGATCACATTCTCCATGTGTTTGTGTCAATATGTGAAGCATCGTGGTGAAATCAGGCGCTCGTCAAAATGATGAAATCAAAGAAATCTGCATAGTTCTGGCTGCTGGGGATTTTTTTTTTAAATTGGCTCAACATCTTTTATGCCCATTTCCGTGTGGATAGTACCGAAACCTTAATTAAAGGCAGGAAACATGTGTTAAATTTCCAGTTTCCAGGGACACTTAAGCTGTGGAAGTCACCAAACTTTAGCAGCCATTTTCTGGCTATTTTTACTTGTCATAACAGGCGACCCCCACCTCCTTCAATTCGAAATATCTCGATTTCTGTTCGAGATACATGGGTAATTTTCACACAAAATGCAAGTCAAACGAACAAGCTTTAAGGTGATATTAATTACTCTATATGCCCCAAAATGTGATTAGTGTCTAATTTCACCTCGTTGTGACACATATGAATTTTACATAAATCTCCGATGGTCTCCTGGCTCTGTTGGTTTACTCCTGTCATGAATTCACCAGGGAAAAAAAAATAAACCTTTGTGATGATTTCCGGTTGTTTTACTCCCGGAGCGTGTTGGATCTCGTCGCATGTTCATATGAACATTGATTTGAACAGTTGATACGATTTTGTATTTGATAATGTGAGTCATTTTACGTGATATGTGATAAGCAGTGGGACAACATTTGGTCCGTTAAGTCAATATACCCGTGGACAAAATGTGTCATGTAGAGTGTGATGGGAGGGGGGGGGAGGGCAGTTTAAATGTAGATGTTTTACGCTCCCATCGATACAATTAAGATCATTTGTGAGGGTCGGGTTTCGACCCTGTCTTCCAGTGCCAAACCTGGCTGAGAGTGGCATAATGTCACTTCAGGAAAAAAAGTGACTAAGCTACTCATTCAAATTTCTCACAGCTGAGAATCGAATTGAGGTGCCCCCCCCTGCGTAAGACGGTGAAATGCGTAACCTCTCACCACAGACGCCGATGATGTGTGTGTTTTTAGTTTTAATAAGAGTTTCGTGGCACTCACAACACAGAGTCGCATAACTGCCTAACATTGGGGGTGATACAGGAAAGCAACACACACACACACACACACACACACACACACACACACACACACACACACACAAGAAAGAGAAGATAGATGTTTAATTGGAAAGAAGAAGCAAACCACGCTGGAGCACCTGCTAACCGCCCACCGTTTAGTGTGTAATTTAGCAGATTATGTTAGCCAGGCGCGAGATAAACCAATGAGCTGAGGTTGCCGTGCGCTGCCGGGAGATTCTTTTAGTTTATGTTTTTGATGAATGTTTGGAGAGTGATAACGTTGAAGGCTTTTCTAAAACCCGAATAAACTGGCTTTATTTGTAAGATTATTTTTTTTTAAACATGGTTTTCTTTAAATGAATTTTCTGGCTAAGTGTCTGTCTGATTGTAAATAAACACGCCCCTAGCATGCTCCTTCTCAACGTTTGTCTTGGTGCTCTGGGACGAATGGGTGGTTAGAGAGGTTTCGTAGATAGCTTTTATTTCGTACCTTTCTCTCTGTTATTTCTGTCTCTCTTTTTTGCCCCCCCCCCCCCTTAACTCTCTCTCTCTCTCTCCCTCTCTCACCCCCCCCCCCCCCTTAAGTAACTAGATGTTCGCAACTGTAGCTCCGGTGCCCGATGCTTTATCACATTTGTGACGTATAATATGTGGGGAGGCAACCATGATCTGTTTGGACAGTTTGTTTGACACCACAAATCGCTGTTGATGAAATTTTCTAGCAGACACGTTGCGAGGAAACCGTTAAAAAATATCGACAAAAAAAACAACAACAACAAAAAAACGATCACTGGCAATTTCTTGTTAACAATTTTATGGAGATCTGGTTAAAATGTAAAAGAATAACGCTGACAATTTCTTGATGATAATCTGTGAGGAAACTACAGAACAATGAATGTTTTGGGGTTTATTTTTTTAAAGTTTTGTTTTGTTTCTTTGTTTGTTTTAATTTTGTTGGGGTGTTTTTTTCACTCCGATCGACACAGTTTAGACCATTTTAGAGGTGAGCTTCGATCCTGCGAAGGAATTCCAAGAAGACAATTTTCCAACTTGACAATTAAACTACAACACTTGCTTCATAAACGTTTTAATTTGATTTTCCACCCTACGCTTTTCGAAACCGTGTCTCTGGAACCTTTTATGAATGCCCGAGTGTTTCTGGATCCCTTTATGAATGCGAGAGCTCGTTCTAGCAGCTCTGGTATATTCTGTACTATAGTTTTGTGAGGTCGCTGCACACGTTTGTACCTGGATAGTTTACAATTTGTTCAATGTACACAGTGCACCCGTTGTGGGGCAGAGACAGAGTTGAGTGGGGTGCTCTGTTGACTCTGCCGCACAGTCCTTCTGTGTAGATATGTCTGTCCGTTTGTCTGTCTGTCACTCTATGGTACGGTGCCGGCGTTCAGATATATAATCCACCTTATTCAATCTTTTCCTTGTTTTTATGACGCCCCGGTAAAGCGATTTCTTTGTATCGATTTTAGGCTTGGAAAAATTCTTATCGGTTCCTTTGTTTTACGTTTTCTTTAAATGTTTTAGCCGTGAATAGGTTCAGCGCCCAGAAAGAACAGCCAATGTGTAGCTTGTTGAGGAGGTTGTTGGGGGGAAAAGGCGATCATTTGAATCTGGGTACCCGCCAAAGGCATTAACTGGATCCTCCCGACTCCATTAATATGGACTGTGGAAAAGTGTAGAGTTTTGTAGACCTGGCTCGGGAACACGCTTGTCTTATACATGTAGTTTTGTGATAGAGTTTGTGTGATAGAGTTTGTGTAATAGAGTTTATGAGATTGATTTTGTGATAGAGTCAATGTACATTTATTCCACCATAAACTAATCCATGAAGGGTTTGAGGGTGCCACGGGTAGGTCCTGCTTTTTTTTTTCTTTTTCCTTCTGTTGTTTCTATTTATCTGCCCTTCATTTCACCTGCGCAAAAAGGCTGTTATTGTGTCGATGTGACTTCTCTTTTCTCAAACTGTCTCAAACCAACAGAATTTCTTCGTGTAGAAGCTGGGCTCTCTTACGCTAGTTCTATCTTGACTGGCCCCATACACGACTTAAGTTTATTAATCTATTGGCGAGAAATAAGCTCACCGTAAAGGCTTTCCTTCAGTCATTTGAGCGTTGAGTGGACTGTTCATAAACAAGCATGCACTTATTGACCGGCCCATAATTCAAGTGTGTGAATATAATGGAATATTCCAAGTGCCCGGGGCGTGGCTATTCTCTGACGCTGCTAATAAAGCGAAAGTACTCAGAGGGCTCGTTTGACTCGTACAAGATAAAGGAAAGGAACTAGCAGAGGGAATGATTCGACCCCAGACCATTGTATCCGATTTGTGTCTTGCCCTGCCCTGGTATTCTTGCTGTGCTTCAACGATCGAGTGCGTGTCCTTTCAGTCTCCTGTGTTGGTCTTTAATGTTGTTTTTACACCACAAGAGCTTTCTCATTGTCACTGTTGCCGAAATACCCCAACTAGAATTATGTTTACTGAAAGAAACTACCATCTTCCACCTGTTTATTGTATGCATTATATTTTGATAAGCCGAGTGTAATTAATTGTCGTCGATGCCAAAATATAGGTAAGCTTGTAAGCAACATCAATAATACTATTGGCTGTGTTATTGAGTACGTCATATAATCGTCATGGCGGATTCGAGTGATGGATTTATGAGTATTCACTATGTGGTTGTGTATGCTTGTTTGTGTGCGCGCGCGCGCGCGCGCGCGCGCGTGTGTGTGTGTGTGTGTGTGTGTGTGTGTGTGTGTGTGTGAGAGAAAGAGAGAGAGAGAGAGAGAGTGAGAAAGAGAGGGAGAGGGAGGAAGAGAGAGAGAGAGAGAAAGAGAGGGGGGGAGAGAGAGAGAGAGGGAGGC